TAATACCGTCCTGAATGTAAATAAACATATGAAATGTATATAAGGAGGATTACTAAAGGAATAAATCAGTATCTTTTCTGAAACCGTGAGTGTTGCATTTCAAGCCCTTTCCTTTCTTTTTTTTTATTGTTAGAGTCCGCCGACGCTTAACTTATATATATATATATATATATATATATATATATATATATATATATATATATATATATATATTGTATGTGTATGCATTGCTTTATCAGTGTTTATACCAAGATAAATACTATTAGTCTATGCTTTTCATAGGTATTTACAAGGACAAGGAATTTTATTTTCAAATCGCCATTTATCCTTTAACCATAGTAGTTATTATCTCTTATCATATTTACTTTCTACTGGATTCTAATATTATAGTTAACATCTATATCATATTTTTAATATCTAATGTACTTCTTAATTCTTATACTAATTAATTCTATCTCTCTTGCTTCCAGTGAATATGAAAATACCATTAAGAATGTGGATGTGGTAATAAAAGAGCTTTATTTTTTGATAGAGAAACTATTTGATGATAATGACACAACATATCTGTTTACATCTGACCATGGTATGACTGCTTGGGGTAAGTATTATCATTTTTTTTTTAAATTGGACAAAGTTAATTATTTAAAATGATGGATATGATTCAGTAACTATAGATATAATTAAGAATGGAATGGTAACAATTTGGTGTGATCAAGAAACAAACACATAGTAGGATACAATACTGCTCTAATGTATGCCATCATTTTGGCCTTCATTATGATATAAAATGTTTTTTTTTTAAATTTAATTGTTCTTATTTCAAAGATAAAAAATTGTGTATGTTTTTGTATCACATACAATTCATTTTTCATCTATTTCTGTTTCTATGTATAGTTCCATAGCCCCTCATGTTACTACTACTATATTTATTCTCTATTTCTTTTATATATATACAGATTTTTTTTGCTTTAAAATTTTAGAGAAAAATCCTATTTTGCCAGTTCTCTTTTTCTGTTATGGTTGTATCTTGTTTGAATTCTTTTAAAATTTATTCCACATTTATAATTTATTTACTATCTTATATCTTGCCTAACCTGATGAAGGTTGTAATGTTGGCACACATTAAAGCAATATTCTACCATACTGTTTTTTTCTTGGCTGCACTCCCAACAACCTCTTTTGTTAATAATTTAAGGATAATCAAATTACCTATATGGTTATAACTAAAATATTAAATGTTCTCAGGAATTTATATATAACAATATCATAAATAAAATATAAGATGGTATTGTTCATGTCATAATTGATTGAGAGATCATAGTTCATTTTCAACTCTCTTTCAAACAAAGTCCACTAAGAAATAACCATTGCTTCTATTCCAATGTTCATTTAATTGTTCTTTTATTTTTAATAAAATATTTAAACTAGTGAATTTCATCTCTTTTTTTTTTTTTAAACCTTAGATATTCTCTGTAATACTTTTCCTATCCTTTAAACTGTGGTATATCATCCTCCTCTCGTTCCATATCCATACCCATCCTTCGAATCGACCCTTTTCAACTTCGTTCCCCTCTATTCAAGAATAATTATCTCCAGTAACCTCAATATCAATTTCCTCTCTAACTTCAATGACAAATATTATCTAGAAAATAATAATAATAATAATATATTATATAATATATATTATTATTCATCGTTCCTTTTTCTCCCACTCACCTTACCAGCAGATCTGACACTTGGCTAGACTTCTACATCATCGATTCTGCACAAAATCTCCTCTCCGCTTCTCAATTGCTTGTATCATTTCTATCATCTCACGATCTGATGCAAATAACTTATAATATCCGCACTCCTCCAATCCATCCTCGAACTATCACTTTCTGCCATCAAGATATCGTAAGAGAAAGAGTATTACCTGACCCAGAAACCTTAGATTTTAATGGAATATATTTGTGCTCCTATATCGACTCTATGGTTGATATTCTCTCTACCAATTTCCTCAATACCCACGCTCCTCTCAAAGCCTCTACCTTTCATCACTGGTCTGCTCCTTGGATGTGTTGGAAAGATCTGTAGAAGAGATGCAACGCTGCCCGTAGACGCTTCAGATGGACTAGGCTCACACAGATAACTATCAAACATTCAGGGTGCTTCCTAACTTGACACAGACAAGGATCCGACTAGCAAAATCTACCTACTTCCATGAAGCCCTTTCCTCAGCTCCTGATATCAAATCGAAATGGCTTCTGCTTTGTAAACTTTCTCTTTGTGAACCTTTCAGATCCCCTTCCTCAGTTTTCCAGCATCATCTGATGGTCTAAATTCATATTTTATATCTGTTGCTACCTCTTTTTTACCCTCCCCTTCTGGCTTTTCTCCAGAGGTACCATTTAACGACAATAACTTTAATTTTTATGATATTTCCTCCACAGATCTTATAACCGCTATAATGAAATCCCACACCAATTCCATAGTCAAAGATGGCATTCCTGTCAAATTAATAAAATTATGTCTCTCGGAAATCCTTCCATCTCTCTTTTTCATCAATGATTTCTCCCTGTAGAATTCAATATTCCCGACCTCTTGGGAAAAAACCGCTGACCTTCCTTTAAACAAAAAGCCTAATCCATCCTCTCCGTCCAAGATTCAACATCAAGACTTCCGTCCAATATTAATCCTTTGTAATCTTTCAAAATCCCTAGAAAGGTTGGTGCATTCCCAAGTTTCTAACTTCCTTGAAAAATCCATCCAACTTGTTCCTCTCCAATCTGGTCTCCATCCTGGCTATTCTACACAATCTGTCCTGATTAAAATTACCAGTGATATTCTGACTATGATAGATGATAAAAAACTAACTATACTTATATTTATTGATTTCTCCAAAGCCTTTGACTCCATTAACCATTCCATCCTTTTCAACAAACTAAAATCATTATCCTTCTCCAATAGTTCCATCTCTTGGTTCCAATCTTTCCTCCCACAACATACCCAAGCAGTTTCCATACAAAATCCGTTTCTCCCGCTTAGTTATTAGTAGCATTTACCAAAATTCAAGAATATCTAGATCAAATCAGTGCCTGGGCAAGCTCAAACGGATGAAGGCTAAATGCTGCTAAAACTCAGGCCATTGTCATTGCTTCCAAACCCCTTTTTAGATCCCATACCAACTTTCCTTCACTTTACCTAAATAACCATCCCATCACCTTCAACCCCTCTGTTAAAAATTTAGGATTTTTCATAGATCATTCTATGAATTTTTTTCATAGATTGATAATCACCATATATATCATATCTCCCATAGTGCAATTTCTACCCTCAAACTATTCCATCGCTTTCGCCATCTCCTATCCCAAAATACCGGTAGACTCCTAGGTTCCTCTCTCATCTTCCCCCACTTTGGCTAAAGCTGTATGTTGTATGATGGTGTCTCGTTGGAGCTCCATGATAGATTGAAAAGACTAATGAATAGCTTTGTAAGATTTTTAATTGGGACCCTGAGACATTCCCATGTCTCCCACCACTACACTGGGTTAGGGTGGCTCTTCTCCTCCTTAAGAAGACAATATTTCCTAGGCACATTCCTTTTTCAAATCTTCAACAATCATCGTCCTTCTTATGCCTACAACCTTCTCCAATTCAAATCCTCAATCCATTCCCTTACAACATCTTGACCTTCTGACCTATACATCACTTCTCATAGATCTGCCTCATTCCAAAACTCCTTTGTAGCCCGCTCTGTCAATTTCTGGAATTCCCTCTCTATTAAAATTTGGCATGCCCCCTTCGTTTCCACATTCAAAAACCTCCTATTCCAATTCCTGCTCCAAAAACAGTCAGATGTCTGCTAACTATTGACATTATACATGTATTTCATATGATTATGATTTGAATACTGTTCTTTTCTAGAGATAGTACATGAATTTCCTACCTTCGACACCATTCAATACATCTATATTTTTATAATATTTGTTTTATTTAATTATCAATATTTTTTCTTATTTATAATTAAACGCCAACATCTATCTTCCATAACTGATTATAATGCTCTTCTTATGATGCATTTACATTTTATCCAGCATTTACATAATTAGGTTTATATTGACAAATGCAACCTTCATTTTCCTAAGTAAAAACTTAAAGCTTTTTTATGACAAGAATTTATTTATTTTGTCTCTTTTTCTTTCTTCAATTCTCAATGTGTATATTTATGCTGTCCTACCATCATATGTAGATTGAAATGTTTTGTTCATAGTTTTTAAGTGTTTTGTATACAGCTTGTTCAGTTAGGGTTTTCTTCACTTTTTTTGTTTGTTTTTTAAAATTTTATTTATTTTTTCACATTTTTAGGTCAGAAGTAGTCTTTTCTTTTTGTACAATTTTGTTATTCTAAAGGGACTTTGTCACCAAATAAAGTTGTTTTTCTATTCTATTCTCTCTCTCTCTCTCTCTCTCTATATATATATATATATATATATATATATACTCTATATATATATATATATATATATATATATATATATGAGAAATAAGCTTCTGTTTGGGAATCTGGATTGGTCGAGAGGAAGAGGATGGCCAAGATTGAGATGGGAAGACGCAGTCATGAAGGTTGCAAGAATTTTAGATGTAAGAATTTGGTGAGCGGCTGCACAAAACTGAACCATCTGGTGTAGGCTCATTGACCAAGATCCACATCGGGTTGTAGTGTATAAATAAATAATAAATCTAACAAATTAAAATTGATAAGTAAAAAACATCTATAATTGATGCATTTATTATTTATTATGTTTTTGAAATTTTTTTAATCGATAAGAATATAAATAATATCATATTTTATAATCAATGGATGACTAAAAGGTAGGTGATTCCTTAAAGTGTGTCAAAATCGATCTTTCTAATTAATATTTATTCATTGTATCTCTTACTATAACTTTGTATTACTAAGGTTTAAGGTAGATTTTTTCATACATTTCATAATAGCAAAGTTTTAAATCGTATTAATTTTCAGGTTCACATGGTGCAGGATCCAAGATTGAAACAGAAACACCTATTATTGCATGGGGTGCTGGAATTAAAAAACCAGTGATGTCTAATATCAGTGAAAGTTCAACTCCTGATAATTGGAAGTTGGCCCATCTATGTAGAAATGACGTAAACCAAGTAGACATAGCAGTCTTAATGTCAATTTTGTTAGGAGTTACAATACCAGTCCATTCGGTTGTTAGTAATAATAATATTTCACATTTTGTCAAATCTCTGCTGCAGTAAATTTAAAATATTTATATTTGCTTACAGGGCACTCTTCCTTTGAATTTCCTCGCCTTTTCTGAAAAAGATAGAGCTAAAGCATATGTTCTAAATGCAAGACAACTAATTACTCAGTTAAAAGCAAAAGAATACAAAGTGAAAAGTCACTTGGCTAACTGTCTTTTTCATCCATACTCAGATATTAGTTTTATGAACTATGAAGACATTTTAGTGAATATAGAAGAAGCTATAAACAATTCTGATTTTAGAGCAGCTGTATGTAATGTTTAGTTTTTTATTATTAGTTTTTAAAAAAAATTAGATTATATTATTCCTAATAGATTCAATTTTAAATTTTAAAAAATTATTTTTTTATATTGTTGATGAATGAGGTTACTTTCATTGCTACTCTATTTAATAGCTTATGAAAATTTGCACGAATAAAAAATATTAAATGTTCATCAATCTCTTCAGGTTCACAGTCAAGCATGGTGAGGTATAGAATCTTTAAAGTATTGATTGATAGCAGATTGATGGTTGACTATAGTAAATAACTGAACAGAAGGGTGGTTGAGGTATTCAATCGAAATAAAAAGTAAAAATAAATATAATTTATAATTCACTCAAAATACAAAGTAAAAATAAATATAATTCAATTTAATAATTATAATAACTTTGTATTTTGGCTGAAAACCCCAACCAACTTTTCTTCAATCTTTAGAGTACTTTGGTTTTTATTGTTAGTCCATTTTTAGTTCATTTTAATTTATTAAAAATTCTATTATTAGTGATCGTTAACTACAGATTAAAATCTAGGAGATGATGGTTTGTGGTGCAGTCCAAAAATAAAAAAGTTATATCACAATGTATATATAAAAAAGTTACATCACTTTATTAATTGAGTTATGTCTTTTAACTTCATAACACACAAGTATAATAATAAATAGAGATTGAATGTTCGTTAAGTAAAAATCCTAAAATGTACAGTAAAAAACTCAAACTGTGCAAAATCATGAAGTAAAAACCTAAAATATTTAAAGTTGTGTAATTAACACCTAATACATGTGTACATCACATTCAAGGCATCTTATGATCCCTTATCACAATTAACGCACATTGGTCTTTTTTTTTTTTTTTTTTTTTTTTTTTTTTTTTTTTTTTTTTTTTTTTTTTTTTTTTTTTTTTTTTGTAGTGTCCTCAATACCCTCAAAAACTAATTCATTTACGAAAATATTACAAATAAAATTTTAAAAAATCAAACATAATGAATTAAAAACTATTAAAATTATATTATTTATTGAAGATAAGAAATAACTTCTGAGCTTTGCTTTAAAAAGTAATACAAGAATTAGAAACTACTATTCCAACTTTACTGATTTAGACTTTAGATTATTATTATCTCTAAAGAGTTATTATTTACTTTTTATCTGAAAAAAAGTATATTCTTTATTATAGTATATCTACACTTTAGTGGTAGGTAAATTATAAACATTTAAGAAATGATTAGAAAAAGAATAGCTACATAATTGAATAGTTTAACAAAAATTGGAAGAAAAAAAAAATATATGTATATATATATATATATATATATATATATATAGAGAGAGAGAGAGAGAGAGAGAGAGAGAGAGAGAGAGAATCAGGAGTGCCCATCCCCTCCCCACAAGGTCAATGGTACATGAACCTCCCCCCTCTCCCTCTCCCAAGATATTTTATTGCTCTCAACTGCAATACAATACTCAACTGCAATTACTCAAAACAGTGCAAGCTAAAGTAGAATTTTAAAAATAATAATTCATATTCAATAACACTTTCAGTGGTCTGGTCTTTGCTCCCCTCTTTTTCCCTGGTTTGAAACTTTCATTTCGAATTTATAACCTTACCAAAATGTGCCTCCCTCAAAAATTCAAAACCCTCTCAAAATGTGCCCTAAAAAATTTTGATGGCGCTACTTGCTCCTGAAACCCCCTTGTGGGCACCCCTGTATAGAATTCAAAAACAAAATATATATTAAAAACTTTGAAACTTGTTAAAAATGGTCAAATGTTAAAATGATTTGATTTGAAAAAAGTTTACAATGTAATTCTCATGCACTTGCTATCTTATCATATTGGTAAGGTGATAGGATTCTAATTGTATCAGTAAACAATTGGGTGAAACGCCAATGGTAAACAATGATGTGTAATATAAGTTGATTAAAATGAATATTAAAACATAGAAATGCAATATATTTCATTCAGCATTTTCATTTAAACCAAAACACATAAATTAAAAAACTGACAAACAATTTGTAATTTAACTTATAGTTTAAATTAACTCTCCAATATCCAGTTTACTTGTATTTTAATTTTTGTCACATGTGTCATTTATTATGGATTTGTCGCATTATTATCATAATTTACTGTTTATTATGTGTATAAATTTCATTTTATTATTTCATTTCTATCACTATAATACATTACACTCCTAAATTATAATATATTTTTACTTTCACTTATCTATGTATGAAATATATAGTTAGGGAAAGTATTGCGATGTGAAATTTTTTTAATTTGAGTTTTCAACAGCAATACATGTTTTGAGGTATCCTTACTCCAAATAACCAAGTCCCTGAAAATTCCTGTTTGTTTATTTGTACGTGAACAGTAGCTCAAAAATGAAAAGTTATATGAAAGTGAAATTGCATATTTTAAATTTGTATAAACTTGGGATGTTACAGTTTTTTCGTAAAATTGGCTAATCGGAAATAGCACTTTATATAATCGATTTTACACATTTTAAAGATTTTCTCAAAAACAGCTCTAATGATTTCAATTAAATTCATTACATCAGTGTAATGTTAAGCAGTTTTTATTTAACATAATTTTTATTCTCATTGATGTTCTCTAACAGGGCTTAAAAGGTCAATTTTTAATATTTCTTCCTCTAAAGTACCATTATTTTTTTTTTATTTGAAATAATTAACCATTTCACAATTAACTCTGATATAAAAAATAGTTAAATAAAAAATATGAAAGAATTCGATAATTAACTAAAGGAGAAATAAGAGATCGTAACGAAGAATAGTTGTAATAGAGGACCAAAGGAATAGGAGCGCGCCCGAGATCACTCAAAAAATTAGAAGGCTTCCATATGTAATATGAGCTCAATATAATATGGATTCCGACAATATTATATACATAAACATATGAGGTTTTCATGAATGCTATCATTTGTATTATTTAATATTTGATTTTATAAATTACAGTGATATAAAAACTAAAATTTGTATATATACCGGTACTTAAACAAATAAAAATACCCTCAATGAAATATAAATAAATATAACTATATAGCGGCCTTCTTTATCAGTACCACTCTTGTCGGACTACAAATATTTTGTGGCACTTAATTATTTATTTTTTTTTTTTTATTTTTTTTTTGTATAGCCTGTTTTTACAAGTATTACACCTGTAGGCCTCCCCAATTAAGAGGGTAATGGTCTAACTTCCCGCGAGGACCAGCCGTATTGGGAAGTAGGGCCGGGATTCGATCCTATGATCTTTGCTTTACTAGTATAGCGCGCTAACCACTCTGCTATACCGGCCCCTCTTAATTATTTATTATAATCAAATAAATAATTGAAATATACAGTTGTAAAAGGAACTAGCTGCCGCAGGGGCTAGCTGTAGCGCACAGTTAGTGGGGACTGACGCTCCTCCGGCCTCCCGAGTCCAGTACACTGCACAAAACACACATGACAGTACACAATTCATTCACACTGACACAAGGTCACTAACAGAACATCCCCCACGATCACCTTCCCTAGAAAGCTGCCCCGAAGAAATAGCCTTCATGAGAACTCTAACGACAATGAAAAAAGGGTGGTGAACTTCGCAGCCTCTAAGGATTTGGTTGTGGGAAGTACCTATTTCCCGCACAAGTTAGTGCATCTAGAAACATGGAGGAAATTCAGACGGAACAGATCCACTACAAGCTCTCAGACCGATCATGTACTCGTCAGCACCAGATATAAATCCTCATTACTTGATGTTCGCACAAAACGAGGGGCTAACATTGACTCGGACCACTACCTTATAATTGCAAAAATAAGGTATCGGTTATCAACAGTGAAGTACCAGCCTCGACATTCTCTGAAGAGGTACAATATTGAAAAGTTTAAGGACAGTGACACAATCAGTAGATTCTCATACCAACTGGACATCAGATTAAGGAACTCTGTCCCAGAATCAAATCTCGAGTCACAATGGAACTCATGCCGCAGTGCACTTATGGAAGTAGCGAACGAGGTTGTAGAGGATAAAACCAAGCAGAGATATAACCCGTGGTTCGATGATGAATGTGGTGCAGTGACCAAGAGAAAAAACATTGCATACAATAAAATGATGCAAACAAAGCACACACGAAGCTCTGTCGAGGAATACAGAGCAACGAGAAGACGGGAGAGGCATGTCCATAGGAGGAAGAAAAGAGGATGGGAGAATAAGAGTCTACAAGAGATAGAAGAGGCCTTCATCTCCAAAAATACTAGAGAATTCTTCCAGGTTGTTAATAAAGGAAGAAAGCCCTTCAGCGCCCGTACCACAGGATGCAGAGCAAACGATGGTTCTTTAGTAACTGACAAACAAGGCATTTCGGACAGATGGGCTGAATACTTTTCAACTCTTCTTAACAGAAATGGCACAAATGTCTCAGAGGCAAATGATCCAATTGCAGGTGGTGAAGATGTAGAACCCCCAGACGAGGAAGAAATCAATGAAGCCATAGAAGGACTAAAAAGCAATAGAGCCCCAGGCATTGATAACATCCCTGCAGAGTTCTATAAACATGGTAGTCAAGAGCTCATAAAACTCCTCCAGGAAATGTTTCATGCCGTTTGGGTTGATGAAGAGCTTCCAAATGATTGGAAAAAATCTATTATATGCCCAGTGTACAAAAAAGGGGACGTCTATCAATATAATAATTACGGGGGCATATGCCTTCTACCCACCGCCTATAAAATTTTTTCAAGAATTATTTATAGAAGAATAATTTCTTATGCCGAGGCTGAAATCGGAAAATACCAGGCAGGATTCATTAAGGGTAAATCAACCATCGATCAAATATTCACCTTGCGAATCCTTCTGGAGAAAACCAAAGAATATCAAATTGGTACACACACATCTTCATCGATTTAAAGCAAGGATATGATTCCATAAATCGTGAGGAAGCATACAAAGCAATGATAGAAATGAATATACCTACAAAACTTGTAAGGCTTGTTAGAATGACAATGG